GAGAACCATTTGATGAGCCCACTTTGGTACCAAAATATTAGCCCTGCCAGGTGGGATAGTTCCAGAGGGCATTGCATTGGGGAAGGTTGCTATGGATATACAAAGAACATGCGATTCCATTTGCCAGCCTCCTTATCTTGGGGACCCAATTGCATGTTACCATTTTAAATGGTAAGAACTAATTGCAAACCTTCCTGTCAGTTTCAGAAAGCTGTCTCCCGTCTCGTTCACATTTTATAAGCCTTCCTCATCTACTGCCTTACAGTATACATTTGTTGAACTTTGGGAAGTCTGATTGTTTAAAGCCAAAGATAGATGGAATATGCTATGACATGATGCTTTTAATAGTTAAATCAGCCAAAGCTTGGCTGTTATATGCAAATAGTCTGCCTCCTAACTTGTTTATCACAATTTGTGGGAAAGTACAAAGTTAAAGAGAACTGGGAACCAAAAGGTGCTATTGGAGATACAGGTTTATTAACAATAAAATCAAAGAATACTTCCCAAGACATAATCTTTTTTTAACATATGAGGATCAGTTATCAAAAACCGTCCTCAATCCTCAGATGAAACAGGTTTCAGTGTCTTTTTCATTATTGTAGTCAGTTATCTTTTGAATATATGAAGCCACTTATCTCAACTGCTTTCTGCCACCTGTATTTCAAAGTGTTCAACTTCAAAAGCCAGTCCAGGGTTCTTCAGATGTTAGGGCTTCAGTTCTGGCTGAGCTGAAAAACTTGGAATGTGAATGCTGATAAAGCATTCCCATTTTAAAAATAAAAGCATCAATCTATTTAACTTCAGCTGCAAGATGCATAAAATGGTGCATGTAAATCACTCACAGGTGCAGACGTTTACAGAAACAAATTCATATTTTTGGTTGTCTTTTGTTCTTTGCAATTTATAAACTAGTTACAGAGGCAAGTTCTATTTTGGGGCTGGATAAGATACCTAGAGATGCAAAGAGGGGAAATACAAATGGAATCAAGGCAATTTATCTTCTTTTTATTATACAAAAACTTGGGGTGAAGGGTCATACAGTGCAATTTCTTAGTAGTTGACTCACAGGCCTCTCTTGTAAAAGCCCACATTGTTGCATATTGCATTATTCCTATTTTTTTTCCTCACAGGAACTGTTGAATATTGATCCCCCAAATCCAAAACTCTTTAATACCTAATCCTAAACCACAGTGCTTCACATACATTTTTTTAAAAATATCCTCTGCCAGAAAATGGCCATTAAAACAATACCTTTAAAGGAGAAAAGACAAATATCTGGAAAATAAGTATCTCAGTGCTATATAGGCTGTAATTTTACATCTCTGGAAGAATGAAGCCTGGCAAGTTCTTGAACTTACTCCTGCTATTTTGCTGTTGGTACTCACAATGACAAATAAATAAATAAATAAATAAATACATACATACATACATACATACATACATACATACATACATACATGTATTGGGTGATCTAGGGTTCTCCAGCACTATTCCTTTGCATAGCACACATTGGATAAAAACCTTTGATTCATGATTTGGTCATTACCACTTACTTTTCCTGTATACTACATGTAACTACATAGCCAAAATGGAGTTAAGAGCTGTTAACCTAATCTTACATAGCTTTTTCTCTGGTAATATTACACTCATAACTAGAGCATACAAAACATTTGCTAGACCAATACTCGAATACAGCTCATCAGTCTGGAACCCACATTACATATCTGATATTAACACAGTTGAGAAAGTCTAGAAATATTTCACAAGAAGAGTTCTCCACTCCTCTACTTGTTGCAGAATAACTTAGGCCACCAGACTCAAAATTCTAGACCTAGAAAACTTAGAACTACACCGCCTTCGGTCCGATCTAAGTTTCGTATATAAAATCATACATTGCTATGTCCTACCTGTCAATGAATACTTCAGCTTCAACCATAACAACACAAGAGCAAACAATAGATACAATCTCAAGGTTAATCACACCAAACTTGATTGCAGGAAACACAACTTCAGCAACAGAGTGGTCAATGTCTGGAATACTCTACCTGAGTCTGTGGTTTCTTCCCCAAACCCCCAAAACCTTAGACTGTCTACTATTTACCTCACCCCTTTCCTAAGAGGTCTGTAGGGGGTGTGCATAAGCGCACCAACGTGCCTACCATCCCTGTCCTATTGTTTCTTTTATTTTTATTTTTTATTTTTCTTATATGTATCCATGTATTCATAACAATGTTTTTACTTATACCTATTATTTTGTAAGCAATTGACAAAATAAATAAATAAATAAAAAATATTGTCTTTGGCTGCTGTCTTGAAGATGGAACTCAAGTTTAGAGGCCTTCTAGGGAGCAAAAAATCCTGAAGACTAATACCCTCAGCCAGGCTGACAGATTTTTACAGGAATTGCAAATATTAGTACAATATTTTTCCCCTCCAAGTTTTTATTTTTTATAATACAGTATAAACATTCTATCTTCCATTAAACAGTGTGTCATCTGAGTACAACTATCTCTGTGCAATAACAATCAAAATTTACAACAGCATTCATTACATTGATATTAGTTATCTGATCTTACAATAGTAGTATTGAACATAATAAACCTATTCATTTCTCTCTCTTAACATATCTTCTAATAAGAGTATACTACTAATATTAAATATAATCCTAATAGTCATAATAATAACAATCATATTGCTTACATCTCTATCTTAACATATTTTCTATATTTCATTGATCTCCTTTTATTTCTAACTTCCATTTTTATTCTTTAGCCATTGACAGAATAATTCCCATGTTGTATACTATTCAGTTTGTTCTTTCTGCTTAATTGCAAGTGTTAATCTATTCATTTTTGCACACTCTAATATTTTCCCAATCACATTCCCAACTCTTCATTTTTCCAGTTTTGTGCAAATACAATTCTAATTAGTACAATATTTGAGGGAGCACTGGCACTCCAATCTTAGTAAAGATTAAAAAAAGTAGCTAGAGAACAAGCTGCCTTGTAAGACTTGAAGATCCAATCTTACAGTGAAGGTTCTTTCTTTTCCAAGAAGTGATGCACCTTAGGGTAGCAGATAACTGTACAGAAACTCTTTATTGTGGCACACACACCTTCCCCAGCAACAGGATGTTGCTCTGGGCTAACTCTATCCTCCTAAGCCTTGCAGATTGATGTAATCACAGCAATGCATCTTTATTACTCAGCCCTTAAAAGAAACTGGTGCTACTTCAATGTCATTGTCCCTCTTTTGATTTGCATCAAGCTCTACGTCAATCTCTAAGCGAAATTCCAGGCAGGAATCACACCACAGTAGGCTGTTTACTGTAGTTTGTATTCCTGGCAGTTGACTGATAGCTGTCTTGCTTGCCTGTAATAGTCACGTCCTACTTCCTTGTCCAAAAGATTGAGGGCAATAGAAGAAGGGGATGACAGAGAATGAGGTGGCTGGATGGAGTCACTGAAGCAGTAGGCATGAGCTTAAATGGACTCCAGAAGATGGTAGAGGACAGGAAGGCCTGGAGGAACGTTGTCCATGGGGTCACGATGGGTCAGACATGACTTCGCAACTAAGAACAGCACTTCCTTGTCTGTTTGTGATATTCTTCTCTTTCTTTCATACACATTCATACTTTTGTAGGTTAAGGACCTAGGTGGGGTGAAGCTGCCTATGGACATCTGCATGTTCCTAAAAACATGCAGGGTGTAGCTAACCAGATACATGGAATGCTGGTGTGGATGCTTGTGAGTAAACCATGAGGACGTGGAATGAATGAGCCCACCTTCTCTCAAATTGCTAAGCTTGTAAACGTTTACAGCCCCTTGGGAGAATGGATGAGCTGAGCCGACTTTGAGGAAGTTGGGGAGTAGGAAGTGTTCCTGCCTGGCTGCAGCCGCTTTTCTGACATGTAGACAGCACCTCCAGCTTCATTCCCTTATGCATCTTGCGCTTAACAGCCAAGTGGCCAACTGTTGCACTAGTAAGATGTCAAGTACAAATGCAAGTAAGTATTCCACTATGTGTAAACAGGATAGGGGATGGATTGAAGCCGCATTTCCCAAATAACTGATCTCGATTGTTTGTCATCTAGAATAAAATTGGACACCACTTTACATCTGAAAGTATATGTTTAGCAAAAAAAAAGAAAAAAGGCCACTTTAGTTAAGAGGTTGGGTTAATTACAGGTAGTTGCGAACTTATGACCACAATTGAACCCCAAATTGATGTTGCTAAGTGAGAAATTTGTTAAGAGAGTTTTTACCCATTTTGCGATTTTTCTCACCACATTTGTTAAGTGAATTACTGCCGATGTTAAATTAGTCCCACGGTTGTTAAGGGAATCTGGCTTCCCTACTGACTTTGCTTGTCAGAAAGTTGCAAAAGGAGATCATATGACTCTGGGACGCTGCAAACGTCATAAATATGAGCCAGTTGTCAAGCATCCAAATATAAGTCACGTGACCATGGTGATGCTGCAATGGTCATAAGTATGAAAAATGGTCACAAGTCACTTTTTTCAGTGCCGTTGTAACTTCGAACAGCCAGTAAGCCAACTGTTGTAAGTTGAGGACTACCTGTACATGGAAACTGGTTGGAACGGATAATGCCTCAGAGCTGCATGCAGTCCAAGGCCTCGGAGCTTCCCGTTTATCCAGACAGAATAGGCAGAATGCAAACATAGTGTGGCAGTCATCTAGATATGTACAGCGTGCATAAGCCAGACTTGCACATGAATTGAAGCTCAATTGCTTTCAGAAGTTGCTTCTGGAACTAGGGATTTCTGACATCCTTTAAACCACAAGAATGGTTCCTGCCACAGCCTCCACCCATCTGTAAATGATGCCCCAAGCGGCTGAAGTATGTGGTCCCTGGATTTCAGCTTCAGTTTCAAGATGTTATCCTTCTGCAAGAAGTGAATGGGGTACTGTACAAGGTCATTTAAGTTCTGGGATTTAAAACCAAATTTCACTTGAGTTGAAGTCAACTCCTACATGAACATGTCTATGCAGTTTTGTTGGCAGCAATGCAGAATGATTTGTATTGTCTTCTTCCGGGATGATTTAACAAAAATCCTATCTCATCTGATCTATAGCTTAGGGTTTCCTTCTGGTCTCCCATCTTAGTATAAATGAGATATACTCTGGTTTGGTTTCTGAGTGAAATCCAAGATGAGTTACATGCTGCTGCCTACTGTGGACCTTCCCAGAATGCTCTTAAAATAATGTGGAAATCCGCAGCTGTTTTGACCAGAGACCATAGCAGGAAAGATGTGTTTGTGTGCACACAGTCACTGTCTCATTCTCTTTCACACAGATACACACATGTGTTTGTTTACCAGTAACATTCTTTTTACAGTATATGGCCTCAGGTCTTGTAAGTATAAGGATTCTATTAAAATAACCAGTCTTTCCGTTTCCCTTCTCTTTTGAATCCAATTTTTAAAAAAGCATCCAAGATAATCAGAGCTTTTCTTTTGTCTGTTAACAATCCATTTACCCGTCAGGACACAATAAAAATACCACTTTTATTAGTGGAGAGCGGGTTTCCCCCCAAAAACCTGGCAACTTTAGGATGTGTGGATTTCAACGCTCCAAATTCCTAGACTACAAAGAATCCCCCAGCTTGTCTAGACTCTATGAAGGAGCATTGGACCTACTTGGTGTTTGCCCCATTGGGGCTTCACCAAGTAGGTCTGATTCAGAGAATGATTGGCCAGTCATTGGTCACTAGCTGAGCAGGAACTGTTTCCTTTGTCCTGTTGCCCGGGCCTTTGTTTTTCTTCTCTTTGCAGAGAAGATCTGATGTTATTAATCTTTTCCCATGCTTCTGTGATCACCATGGTGGCAACTTTTCACTGCTGTCTTAACTCCTCAGTGCTTTTCTGCTGGCAGTTATGCCTTTGGGCTCATTTCATAATCATATCAATAGGCTGTTGCAATGGATTTCCAGGAATTGGAAAGTCTAGAAAACCAAGAATCCTCCCAAAGCATGTATAGACCGTTGCAAGGCAACAGTCCTTTGGCATGAAGTGAAGGCCGTAAAAACTTCAAAACAAAACAAAACAAAACCCAGCAACAGATGCAACACCACTGTTGTGCACAATTGCCCACACATAGTCATAACATAATGTGATTGGCAGACAATTCCTTTTGTCCCCTAAGTATTATTTCACCAT